ACACACACACATTAGAGAGCAACACACACACACACACATTAGAGAGCAACACACACACACACACATACCTATCCTCCTCTCCTCCAGCAAAGACTTGATCTCTGCTATTTTATCCAGAGCGTGACGCAGGATGCTGGAAATAGATGAACAGAGATGTAAAGATGTAAAGTGAACATTTAAGACAAAGTGACGGTTTGAAGTAGAAATCAGAGAGTATCCAGCCTCACTAGATACTCGTGGTGTAACGGATCAGCCCTCACAGTTCGGATCACTTGTGAACAATTGAGTATTTTTTTTCACAGTGTAATCATCATAGTGTGTAATAAAGTTGTACTGCTGCTGTTCCTTTTCAAGTAACAAGTCCCCGAATATCAATGCAGAGTGTCCGTGAACAGATATAAAGCAGTAGTGTATTCAGTGAACGGAGCAGGTTAAAAGCATTGAACGGTGAATGTCATGGTGAGCGGAGGAACGTCAGAAGCTCCCGACGTCATTTAAGTCGCAAGTTTGGGAGCATTTTGTCTTCCCTGTAACTTATAATGACGGATGAGGGTGGTGGACAAACCGTTACGGTATGTAGGCGTTATTTAAAGAGAAACACACACGACAACGGCACTACATCGGCATGTCCACACATATGAAGAGACACCATCCGGTCTGTCAGCGACGGGGGACACTCCGTGGTGGAAAACAAAGGATTTCAAAATCTGGTTAAAGTGCTTGAGCCACGCTATGAAATCCACTCACGCACCCACTTCAGTGTGAAGCTGTTCCAGACCTCTATGAGAAGGAAAAGACTGTGACCGCTTTCACCACGGCGGAGTGATTCATAGTCCGGTGCTGCAGACACGCCCCCTCTGTGAGAGCCACACAGACACACACCTGGGGCAGGTGCTGACAGAAGCAGCAGAGTGGAAGCTAGACACGCCCAATAGCAATATCCCAGTCACCACAGAAAGGTCTCCCTTCACTCCAGACAATGGAGATATTCTCATCTTTTTGAAAATAATGTCACATAATGGTAAACATTGTTGTGTATTTGAATGACATCACCTGACAGGAAGTAAACATAGACCCAAGTTGTTGCTGAGCAGTTCAGTGTAAACAGTGGAAGCTAGCTCACTGGCTGTTTCTTTCTTTCAGTATTGATCAAAGGACGAGGATATCAACATACCTCATGTTGCACTTTAACTTAACAGAATTCAGTATATTTGAATGTTTTATTCATTTTGTTTCAAATTGGACATCTTCAATATTTGTGTTTTATGCAAGACTATAGCCTCCCCTTTTCTTTGTTGATCCGAACCGTGAGGTTTGTGATCCGTTGCACCCCTACTAGATACGCTTCAGGATCTAATAGATACAGTATTTAAATACAGACCGACGTGTGTCCTGTAATAACCACCTTTTGTTAAATTAAACCAGTTGTTCATAAATAAAACGAGTGGCATGTTTGTCATTAGTCTGCTATTAAAATAAAGCATGTTATAAAGACACGAGGCTCTTCTGCTGCATCAACCACACACTTCACAGTACTTCCGTCTCACCCATCAGCGTCTTAAAGACGCTAAAATCAAACTACAGTCGTCCAGCAGCTTTAGGATGAAGCGTCTCTGCTCACCTGCACTCGGCCTCTGCGTCTGCTTTGGCCGTGGTGTAGAGGCCTCTCAGCTTGGTCCGGTAGTACGGGGACGCTGAGGGGACACAAGAGGGACACAAGAGGGACGAGACTAAGTAAGTTTGATCAGGACTCAAAACAGCAGAAAATATAAAAGAAAAGCAAACAATGTGGAGCAAAAGTGGGAACGAGAGTTCACTGACTTTTGTTTTCCGTCTGCATCCTCTCGTGTGTTTTCTGGATGTTGAGCAGGTTGTGTTCGCTGCGTGACCTCTCCTCCTGAACAACAGAGGTGATATTTAGACGTTTCCTCCTCTTAACCGGTGTTTTCATGACTAGAAACCAAGGCTACTAAACGCACCTGGGTCTGTTTGATGAGCTGATGGAGCTCCGTGAGCAGCTCGGCGATCTTGGTATCGGCCGACATGTTTGTACCTGCAAGCGTTAAAATCATACAAAAACATACGTTAAAATCATAAGCTAAAATCATACCAAAACATACGTTAAAATCATACAAAAACCATACCAAAACATACGCTAAAATCATACCAAAACATACGCTAAAACCATACCAAAACATACGCTAAAACC